CCACTCTTGCCTCACCAGTTTCCTTTCTCACTGATCACCAGAACTTCTGAACAAAAAAGTGTCATAGAGCAGGGTTTTCCTATTCCTTAAGGGAGTTCTATTTTTCCTACTTTAGTAGGTGCCATTATATGAGTGACATGAGCAGTTGGAAATGTACCAGTCTTGCTGGCCTTATCCTTCTGGACTTCTCTTCTTGATTTTATTCCAGAAAATTGTGGCACTGCTTTTAGTTGTGGCTTGATGTTTCCTAATGTCATCCTAATATAGGACAGTTTGTTTTAATTTAGCTAGTAGTAATCATCCCTAATATATTAAACTACTTGAACTCAACTGCAGTTGAGAGGGAGAAGAGACTTAAGAGCCCATATAGTTTACCCAGCCTGTGGTTGAGGAATTTGTCCCTGATCAGTTACCGCTGACAGAAATGGAAGCTAGATTTCTTGCTCTGTTACTAATTTGTTTAGAAAAGCAATGTTTCCTACCTTAATTCTCAAGATTTTTCATTTTTCTATGCTCCTCAGTGGACCAGGAAAAAAAAATTGTAAGCAGTTTTGCAAAAACAGTACAATGTTGATGGAGAAAGGACTGATACATTTAAGTCAACAGCAATAGCAATAATCCAGCTGTAGGTTATATGCAACAAAGGAAAATCCTCTAAGAGTCTGCTTTCTGTCCCAGAGCCAGTCAGAACTATTTTTAAGCCAATTCATTATGCCAAAAAAATCTGCATTTTTGCAAATGTACTCCTGACCCTCACGACTTATAAGCCTACTACTCCTTATCCTTACTGTTTCATTGATTTTCTTGACTTTGATATATCTCTGCCTAGTCGTTTGATGTATCAAAAGCCTTGCATATTGGCTCCTTTATTAACAAAGCCAAGCTTTGGGGTTGAAAAGTTGTTCCCAGGTGGCTGCTTACCTGCAGTCTGCAATCATATTCTGAACTGTCCTCCAAACTCTTGCATTGTTCTTATTCAAAGTTAGGTAAATTCCTTCACTGGGGATTTTTTAATTATTTGATATAATTAATTGTAAATAGCCCTCACAAATACTAATTCACTCAACTCTTATTATTTTTTTTATTGATTTTAATCTAAACTAAAAAATTATGTTAAAATCAACTCCTATGAAATAGTAAAGGTAGGGATGATAACCAAAGGTTATGTTTAATTGACCTATAGAACATTAACCAGCTTTATATTCAATTTAGCAATATTTTTATAGATTTGAGGGGTTTTGTTTGGATACTATGCTGACACACACATATGTATGCCTTAGTGTCTCATAGCCCTCTTTGAAATAGCTTTGTCATCTTCCTGGTTTTCTCATTAATGAATTAAATATAAGTGTGACACATGTTCGTCAGCATATTGTAAAGTATAACTTGACCTTAATTATAATATCCTCGTTTGAGAAAAACAAATACATAGCTTATACACCCCCCACTTCCCTGTCCTGCACCCATAAAACACATCAAAATTAATCATAAGCGTGGCTCAGAGTTTTTCTCAGTGTAAGGCCCCAGAGGGCACTAGACACAATAAATGAGCATTGATGCTAAAGTTAACATTAGTCATCCTCACCATATTGGCATGTTTTGTTTTAATTGCTCTCTAAAGTTGCTGATCAGACCAAAGGATATTTATTCCTGCAAGATAACAGACATGACAGCCTGAGTGTCACCAGCACCATAAAAACAGTTGGTTTCGTCCCACAATATTTTATTGCTGTCGGTTCTATGCCTTCAGAAGGAGCATACACTTGTGAGTTTTCCACACTCCACAGTTCCCTGGTGTGCTCATTATTCCATCAGTCACATTACTTTTTCTTTGCTGGCCCCTAAAGACACTTGTCTTTACTGTCTGCCCTCTAAGAAATAACTGGAGTTAGAGACTGAGCTGGATGAAATTGTCATTTGCATAGGTTAAAAATGCCAAAATTAGCGGGGCGCCTGGGTGGCTCAGTCGTTGAGCGTCTGCCTTTGCTCAGGTCATGATCCCAGGGTCCTGGGATCGAGCCCCGCATCGGGCTCCCTGCTCCGCGGGAGGCCTGCTTCTCCCTCTCCCACTCCCCCTGCTTGTGTTCCTGCTCTCGCTATCTCTCTCTCTGTCAAATAAATAAATAAATAATAAATAAATAAATGCCAAAATTAGCAATTTCATATGATTTGACCTGATCAGATCAAAGAATCAAAATGATGCTCTTCTTGGGATCTTCCAGTTTGAAATGAATTTATTTCCTATTTTGAATCACTAATCAGCCAAAAAAAAAAAAAAAAAAAGACTGATTTAACACCTACTGTGCACAAAGCATTGTGGTAGATTCCAGGGATGACAAAGATATAAGTGCACATCCTGCTTTGGAGGAGTTCACGCCTGGTTTGCAAGGCATGAATGATCTTATCTTCTATGAGATTGTGAGCTCTATGAAGGCAGAGGCTGTGATTCACTGTACTTTATTTTTCTGTGGACTCATCACATGGCAGATGTTCAATGAACCCTTGTTAAACAAGACAGTAGCGAAGTGGAAGGTAATGAGAGAAGCAAGAAGGAAAGGAAAGAAGGAGGGAGGAATGGGCACTAGTTAGAGAAGCTGCCAAGATGGATGTGTCACAGAAAAAAGGAAGACTATGAAAAAATTAGTTTTTTTTTATTTATTTCTAATGAGTTTTATACTCCAAGATAGTTTTAAAAGCCATCTATTGAAATACCTTTGACTCTAAGTGGCATTGATTTTGGTTTGTTTCCAAAATGAAAGCAGTCTGAAAGGATATATGCATTTCACCATAAATGAATTTTAAAACAAAGGCTTCAAGCACAGTAACCAAAGTGTTCTCATCAATGGTACAGTGTTCGGAACAATCACTTTGTTAGGTGATGGTGATTTATTTGGAGGTACAAACTATGGCATCTATTAAAAATTCACACAAACAAGGGTGCCTGGTGGGTTCAGTCACTGGGGTATGTGGCACTCAATCTCAGGGGTATGAGTTTGAGCCCCACATTGGGTATAGAGATTACTTAAAAATAAAATCTTTTAAAAAAATTCACACAAACATAGCAGTATGAGGACCTTTATGTCCCGTTTCTTATTTCTAATGCATGAAACCTTCTTAACACTTTTTCCTTTTGTCATTATTGAAATTATCAAGGTATATGTTAGAGCTGACTTTTAAGAAGTTCATAGTCAAATTATTATTCCTCTTTCCATTTGTTTAGGAAGATTTTTCTTTTTATAAAACCCAGCTCCACTCATCAAGACCCAATGACCAAATTTATTTTTTTAGTTTACTTATTCCTGGAAAATATTAAAGGCAATTTAGCTATAACGTTTCCAGAATTGGGAAAAATATTCATCAGTTATTTTGAGAAATTTATTGGATGTAAAAAGATTTACAGGGGCCCCTGCTCAGCCAGTTGTGTCTGACTCTTGATTTTGGCTTGGGCTATGATCTTGGGGGTCCCAGGACTGAGCCCCACATCGGGCTCCCTGCTCAGCGGGAAGCCTGCTTCTCCCTCTCCCACTCCCCCTGCTTGTGTTCGCTCTCTTGCTGTCTCTCTCTGTCAAATAAGTAAATAAAATCTTAAAAAAATACAAATATTATAGATTACATGACAATTTTTATCATATATTGTTCCGCTAATACAAAGGTTACTAATCTAATTAAGGTTAATCTAATAAAGTTACTAAATGATTGCAACTTCATAAAAAAATTACACACACACACCCATTTTTTTTTTTCCTGGAAGCATACACACCAAGATTGTAACAGCACCTAGGTCTGAAGAAAGAGTTAGGCATGTTTAGAAAAGTTTTAGTTTTCCTTTCTGTTCATCTCATTGCCTAATTTTTTTTCAGTGAATATATAACACTATTATGCTAATACAAAACTCTTTCAACAAGAAGAAAGAAATGCTACCCTCCAGGGTTTACAAGTAACATCTCCACTGCTCACAAATGTGCTGGAGTTTTTGAGGCTCTGAATGTTAAGGATGAAGAAACAAACTGTGGTAATGGATCAAAATAGTGAGGATGGCCTCTCTGGGCATTCCATAAAGATTACTGCGATAAAGTTAAAGGATTATCTCAATATGTAGCATTAGTCACTTCAGAAATGTTACAACAAAAGCAAAAATTCTAAATAGGAGCCAAGTAAACTAAAGTGTGAGTCATATTTCTTCCATTTGAAGTAAAGTCATTTTAAATATGAAATTTAAAGACCTCCTTGTTTATGAGCGTTTGATTTTTTATTTCTAGGACAGACTCATTTGTGGTCATCTGTAGTTCCTGTTTCAGAGAAAAAGATCATTAATTGAAAACACTTCCGCTTCATTTTAAATAATAAAACCACTCGTGAATAACTTTTTTTATTATAAAAGGAACATATAGGGGCACCTGAGTGGCTCTGTCGGTTAAGCGTCTGCCTTTGGCTCAGGTCATGATCCCAGGGTCCTGGGATAGAGCCCCACATCGGGCTCCCTGTTCATCAAGGGGGTCTGCTTCTCCCTCTCCCTCTGCCCCTCACCCTCCTCCTGCTCATGCTCTCCCTTGCTGTCTCTCTCTGATAAAGATAGATTTTCCTAAAATCTTTAAAAAAAAATAGTAATATATAGACAAAACAGAAAATTTGGAAATTCACTCCTAATTGTATTACCCAGAGATAAGCACTAATAACATTTAATGTCCATCCATAAAGTTGATAACCATTTTTAATTTAAAAACAAGAGATTGGTGTTTAGGTATTTAAATCCTCTGAATGTCAGTGAGGTTCATGTAAATACATTTTTCTCCAGTATCTGTGGCATTGGGAGATAATTGTTGTGAAATAACGTAATCCTTGACTATTATTATCCATGTTAAAATGCAACTGTGGCTATGGTCTTCTACTTTGGATGCACCAGAGTTTTCTGGGAAAAAAAAAAAAGTTCAAGCAGCATGATACCAGCAACCCATAGAATGGACTCATTCACATTCTTCTTAACTCTTCATTTCCTCCAGGACAGATATCAGTGGATGGCTTTATGCGCTATCTGAGTGGAGAAGAAAATGGAGTCGTTTCGCCTGAGAAACTGGATTTGAATGAAGATATGTCTCAGCCCCTTTCTCACTATTTCATCAATTCCTCACACAACACCTACCTCACAGGTATGAATTCATAGTTCTCTGACAATGACTTTAGCCAGTCTCACCAAATTTCACCAACCTCTACTTTCTGTTGTTCAGAAGGGAAGGTGTGTTTTCTTTCATTTCCTATGAATGCCTCTGAGAACTGAGCTCTGGGACCAGAGGTTCTGCCTGTAAGGGGCAATATCACTTCTTCACAACATATTTCTTCCCCAGTTTTTAAGTCTTCTGAAATGTATCATATCTGGTATCTTTGGGCCAATGGAATTTTTGTGTAACTGAATTTCTTCAGTGAACTTGGCAATACTACCTAGTTCTCTGGACTGTGTTCATGTACAGGAAAGTACTAAAGCATAAGCATACATAACTTACGTTCAAGGCAAATAGCTTATTTTGTTCAAGGTGGAATAGGGCTTTAGATGTAAACAAATTTAACCCTTAATGACAGCCTATACTTCGTTGTAAATACTATAATAATGGAGGAAAAAGCAACAGTGTGCTTCCAAATGTGATCCTAAATTGAGCATCGCCATGGTTTTTAGCAGATTATTAAATAGAAACGCAAGGGGCGCCTGGGTGTCTCAGTCAGTTAAGCACCTGCCTTTGGCTCAGGTCATGATCCCAGGGTTCCACGATGGAGCCCCCACGATGGACTTCCTGCTCAGGGGGGCGTCTGCTTCTCCCTCTCCCTCTGCTCCTCCCCCTGCTTGTGCTATCTTGCTCGCATTCTCTCTCTCTCTCAAATAAATAAATAAAATCTTAAATAAATAAAAAAATAAATAGAAAAACATGAAAATCCATATATACATACATATCATCTCAACTTAGTTTAAAATTAACATTTTTAATAAATACAGATTTTAATAAAGCTAAAAGCGTTTTTATAATCAAAATACATTTCTTGCAGAATACTTTTTGTATGGCAGATTTCTAATTACCAGCCTTGAAAAGACTTTGTAAAGGATCTATGTTAAAAAAAAAAAAAAAAGGCTTTTTAAAAAACCATGTCACTCTCCTACTTCCAACACTCCATTACCCAAATTAATATAAGATAGCCAGACTTGAAGACCCACAATGCAACCAAAGTCTCATTTGGTATGTGTAAGTTGTAGTTGCCCCCCATGCCTTGGGAGAGGCTTAGACGCGCCCATGGCTCCTTGCCTAGGGGCATGTGGTTTGTGTTGCAGGGTAAACCAGCAAAACTATGAACATAATGACAAGGGAGATCCAGGCACTGTATATTCAGGGGTGTCCAAGAGTATCTCACAGATTTGGTTATATGGCAGATAAGCAGTTCTTTCATCTAAATTCCTTAAGGAGATCCATTCATCCCAGTACAAATGTATGTTTTATTGGTATCAAATCGGGCATTGGCCTGGTATCCCACACTTGGTGAAAAAATAGCTTAGAATAAAAATGACCTTTTGACAGGGAGAACAAAGTAGCCTCCTGACAGCGAGAGTAGGCTGTCTCAGGATGCTTTCATATAATCTGAGAGCATCTAATCAGAACCACATAGTCTGAGTTCTGGTCAGTCAAAGTGCAACTTGTACATTCTTCATAAAAACTGGGTGGCTCTCAGGCTACTCACAGCCCATTTTGTTTCAATTGACATTATCTACAGGGAGAGATGCATACCAAAAACTAACTGGATTCATGTTTGGTTCATCCTAAACTCTATTCCTGTCATTTCTTGTTGCATAACAAATCACTTGAAAATTCAGTGGCATAAAACACCCACCATATTATTTTGATCCATTTTCTGTATGTCAAGAATTCAGATAGGGCACAAGAGGAGATGGCTTCTCTCTCTTTCCTGGTGTCTTGGGCTTCAGCTGCCAAATAAGTGTCCGGGGGTAATGCAAACACATTGGGTGCTGGAATCATCTGGATGCTTCTCCAACATGTCTGGAACTTGAGCTCAGTTAGGACTCCTGATCTTTTTGCCTATAAGAGGCCTCACCATGTAGCTTGGGCTTCCTCACAGCATGGCACTCCAGGGTAGGTAGACTTCTTACCTGGCAGGTCATGGCTGCAACAACAAATGTCCCAAAGAACAAGAAGGAAGCTTAATTGCCTTATTTTACTTCACCTCTAAAGTTCTGTTTGGTCACTTCTTTATTTATCAGTCACAAACCTACCTAGATTCAAAGGGAGAAAACACACACCATTGCTCTCATTGGGAGGAGTGTCAAAATATTTTTAATTTTTTATCTTCTCGGGGCACCTGGGTGGCTCAATCGTTAAGCATCTGCCTTCAGCTCAGGTCATGATCCCAGGGTCCTGGGATCGAGCCCTGCATCGGGCTCCCTGCTCCGCGGGAAGCCTGCTTCTCCCTCTCCCACTCACCCTTCTTATGTTCCCTCTCTCGCTGTGTCTCTCTCTGTCAAATAAATAAACAATAATAAAAAAAATTATCTTCTCAGGGAAATCTTAATCTTATTTGGTACCATTGACCAATTTGGCATTCTGGTGAAATCTATGAACCCTTCTAAGAGTAGTGTTAAATGCATAAAATAAAATATATAGGATGAAAGAAGAGATAATTTCCAACAAAATATTTTTATCAAATATTAAAAAACAAATTTGTGATAAAATAATATGTATTTATATGAGCACAATTTAAATACTAGCATAAAGAATATGATATGACTCTTTGCAACAATGGAACATGATATGAAAATATCTGTGATTTCTCCTCACGTCAGAGTCACAGTTCTGCTTGTACTGTTGTGATTTGTGACCTGCATTTATAACTGAAGAGATTATTAAATTTTACATAAAGGTTTAAATTAAAGACATAATCTTTTTTCTCATCCAAGTTTGAGGAAGTCGACAACCTCAATTAAGATCTTTCACTTGATAATGTCCTAAACAATATAACTGTAATGACTGGCAAATGATGGCATTTTGCATTTATCATATACTTAGGACCACAAGATTCTTAAAATACATAAATACATGTTCAGCTAAATTTTGGACATAGTATGTGGTTTCATCTGCTTGGAAGTCATGATATGCAGTAATTTTACCAATAGTCCTTTTTAACTCCAAAAATTCCTTCCAAATGATGTGTTTATATTCATTAGTATCTATATTATTTTTCATGTAATAAATGAGGCAATGGTAGCAAAATGATTGAATAATAAGACTGATTGGATACACAGTCTATTCGTTTTATTTTCTCTCAGAATATATTCTTTCTGCTTATCTTTATGGATTTATGATTTTTAGATTTTATGTAGGTTCACCAACCACAGCCACTGTTCTCTTTTTGATACTCAAATTGTCTCAGCTTTGGTCTATGGGACCATTTTTTAGGCTGACTTCTATAGTCTCTTGACATGACCCATTGCTCTTTGAAAATGTCCTTTCTTTCTGGCACATAAAGATCTTCAGGCTCACCTTGTTCCTTTCTGCACCACCATGGAATCAGACTTTTCCCCCAAATGACCTCTGGTTTCCTTCAGTGGAAAAAAAAAATTGTATGTGTAACAGCAATTTGAATGCCGTACTATGGAACATTGTTTCTGGACCGTTTCAGTGAACAAAGCAAGAAAAGATACATTTGTGTCTGAACTGTGCCAGTTCACAGAACTATCTTCATTCCTATCTTCTAATTTATTTAAATTCCTGATTCTATAACTGTGCTTTCTTTATCAATCTTGATACCTATGAAATTATACATAATTAATTCATTTGCTTTACTAATAACACAATAATAGCTCCAAGAAAATTATTTGGTATCAGGAGGAACAGTAAAACTACAGAATACTGTTCAGTTTTTCTCTGCAATTCCTTTTTGTTGTTTTTAACTGCATTTCATTAAGGACTCAGTCCAGTGAATTTCTTCCAGAGTCACTCATTCACCTTTCCTCTGAATAACTTGGTAAGCACAGATGTGTTTGAAGATTTGGCTTCATTGTGTTGGCTTGGTTTTGGGGTGTTAGCATATTAATAGCTAATAGTTATCAGTAGTTGGAGTTTTCAGCTATTAGGAAAGAAGGGTCTACTCTCTTTTTTTGATGAAGAAAGAGCTCAAATAGCTGTCTCCAATTTCAGTACAAAGGTTTCATACCACCACCACCTGATACACATGATTTCTGACCAAGTAAACCAATTCTCGCTCCAGTTATTCAATTTCTCGTAGTATTAGAATCACATATTTTCAAATATTTAGGTTTCAAACTCTGTTTTCTATGTAAACCATGTTCTGATCTTTATGGGCTTTTTTTTTTTTTTAACTTGCTCACTTTTCTGAGCCATATATTATTTTACTGAGGTTTGCCTTATATAAATCCACATTTTCACAATATCACCTTATCCCAATACCAGTCAAAATTTTTCATTTTCCTACAGGGGATTAAAAAGAAGATTCCATAAACAAACTGAGGGTTGCTGGAGTGGTGGGGGGTAGGAGGGATGGGGTGGCTGGGTGATAGACACTGGGGAGGGTATGTGCTGTGGTGAGCGCTGTGAATTGTGTAAGACTGTTGAATCACAGACCTGTAGCTCTGAAAAAAATAATACATTATATGTTTTTAAAAAAGAAGAAGAAGGTAGCAGGAGGGGAAGAATGAAGGGGGGGAAATCGGAGGGGTAGACGAACCATGAGAGACGATGGACTCTGAAAAACAAACAGAGTTCTAGAGGGGAGGGGGGTGGGAGGATGGGTTAGCCTGGTGGTGGGTATTGAGGAGGGCACATTCTGCATGGAGCACTGGGTGTTATGCACAAACAATGAATCATGGAACACTTCATCTAAAATTAATGATGTAATGTATGGGGATTAACATAAGAATTTAAAAAAAAGTGATCATAAAAAAAAAAAAGAGTTAAGTGCTCCATCAGATTTTGTTGTTGTTGTGGGGACAATTGAAATATATATACTTTAAAACAAAATTAAACATGTCAAATTAAAAAAAAAAAAGAAGTTTCCATATTATTAACCAAAAAAAAATGTACATATAAATTCTAATACAGGCTCTGGATGTTTTGTCTGAAATTCTCTTTTGACTTAT